GATGATCATCTTCCCGCAATGAGAAGATGACTCATCCACAAACGCCACCTCAGCGTGCTACATGCCCAGGCACGTGAGGCAGCGATCGTGACCATCACCCAGCGCCAGGTAATGACCGCATCCAGAAACGCCCGGGTGATACGTTGGCTATAGCAAGACCCACATCGTCTTTACAAAGATGTAACGGCAAGTTTGCCACGCAACGTCGTCTTTGCATTGGCTTGTTTAGTTAACACTCGAAGTAGATTGGTGTCTCTAAGCGAGATCCCAATTCGTCGGTCATCCGACGTGACGTCGAGAGTGACCGACTGAAAGGGAACATTATTTACACATTGTTGATGGATCTTTTTGTTTATAAATGTAACATTTCTCAAAATGTTACATTTTGTTTCAGAATGTTTAGAGAGCATTCAAAAGTAAGATTCCCATAACGTTTGCATAATATAAAATGGAATGTTCGCTTCACATTCGCATAATAAAGAAAAAAAACTGGACTTTTAAACATTCAGAAACAAAAAGGTCTGAGAATATTTCTGTTAGATGCGAAGAGGCATTTGCCTTGACAAATTTATAAGCTCCAAGAGACTTTTTCACTTAGTGTAGAAATTTACATTGTGTAAATACAGTATCTCTTTTAAAAGGATAGTTCATGCAAAAATGAAAATTCTGTCATCATTTACTCTCCATCATGTTGTTCCAAACCTGTGCGAGTTTCTTTCTTCTGTTGAACACAAAAGAAGATATTTTGAAGAATGTAGGTAACCAAACATTTGACAGTAGCCATAGTTTTTTCATACTATTGAAGTCAATGGCTACCATCGACTGTTTGGTTCCCAACATTCTTCACATTCTTAGATCATCAGCCTAAAGTAATTCATACAGGTTTGGAACAACAAGAGGGTCAAACAGTTCATTTTTGGATGAACTATCCCTTTAACTTGCTAGAATATACAAACACAACACTGACCAGCATGATTTGCATTATCTGTGCCGTGTGTTTAAATTTGCTTTCATTTTCATAGATGTGATTAGAGCGCAGTATTTTAATAATCCTCTGTTGATGGTATATCTCTGTTCTCGCTGGCTCTGTCAGGATGTGTGAATAAACTTCAGACCTGTTGCTCTGTGAGTTTTCACATGTGACATCACTTCCTGTGTCACACCCTGTTTTACGGATGATATGGAAAGTTGGGTATGGATCTGGTCACTCCCTTCCTGCTGTTCGCTGTTTACCTCGCATGAATCAACAGAGAATCGGCTGCCAGCAGCTTAAATGGAAAACTGTGTCCAACAGCCTGTCTGTCCCTCTGTACGACTGTCTGTCTCTCTCTGGCCATGTAGGGTGTAACCAGAAGAGTGTGTGTGTGTGTGTGTGTGGTTTTATGAAGCAGCGAGCGTGAGATGTCAGTGTTTGTGTGTCAGGAGACGAAAATGGGTGTCTTAATATGTGCAAATGTCAATTTTAAGCAATCATTGCACACTCTTTTGTGTTTTAATTTCTTTTAAGGAGAATATTTGGATAAGTTGAGACAGGGTTTATCTGGTTTCATTATAAAAACGTGCTCACTTTAGTTTGTTTTTGTGCATGCACATGCACACACACACACACACACACACACATATAACTGGTAGGTCAATCCCATCAATAGCTGTGTTAGCTGTTCTGATTGATTACAGTTGTGCATTACACTGTGTACACTGTGTGTGTGTGTGTGTGTGTGTGTGTGTGTGTGTGTGTGTGTGTGTGTGTGTGTGTGAATGTTCTGTTGTCCAGGGACAACTGAATTCTAAAAGTGTCATTTAATGCCACTGTAAACACATGCTGCTCTTTTCCATGATAGAGATAGAGTGATAGTGATAGAGAGCAGGAACAAATGCTTTACAAATGACTGAAGAGCATCATTAAAGTAATCTTCCTTGTTGTCGTTATTTTCCTGTTTATTTCTGTGAAGCTGCTTCTTAACAATTTGTATTGTTAAAAATGAGACGACTTCACATGGCATCTTTCAATATATTGTATGCAAATCTGAGTTATCTGTGAATAACATGCTAAAATTGGGTCTGTTCCTCAAACAAATCATCAGAAGACTTGGAATGTAGTATTTTTCATGATCATTCTGTGAGTGAACATTCATCATAATCTGGTTTTATAGAATGAAAATGCAAGTAAATGATGACAGAATGTTAATTATAGGGTGAACTGTCCATTTAAAAACCAGCGATTGTGTCTCGTGATATAATAAAATACAATAGATAAAATCAATTTGCAAAACACACACACACACAAACACACACACACACACACACACACACACACACACACACAGAGGATGAGGAGGATGAAGATGGTACTGACCCCACTGCAGAAAGCGCTGCACATATTTCTCTCTGAGCAGAGCAGCCGAGCTGAACTCCTGATAAACTCCCACCAGCAGATCCAGCAGCGTCTGCAGGCCCACGGGGCCCTTGGTGTGACCCGCTGCGTTTTGGTCCGGCTCATTCACATGAGTGGCTCCTGGGGGCCCGGGGCCCGTGGACATGGTGGAGATCCTGCTCATTCACAGCCCTGCTCCATGATTCCTGAAGCCCAGTCCTTCAGTCCGTCTGTCTGTGTGTCTGTGTGTTTCTCCAGCAAGCAGAACCTCCAGCTCCAGCCCTTTTTTGGTGTCGCTCAGCCTCTCTCTCGGCTCTCTCTCTCTCTCTGTGTGTGTGTGTGTGTGAGAGAGAGA